AAGGAATATGGATCCATTTTAATAATTGGAGATTAAAGGTTTCCCGGTGTATCTATTGCATAAGCTTTGACTTGATACATTAGAAAGATGATTATATTCGTTGTTCGTTATCTTACCTGGGCTGTGGTATATTAGCCAATTTCGAATAGCCTTGACATGTTTTGGCATTTAGAAGATATGGTTGATTAGGTGGCGGTTGGCATTCGATATGTTGTTAGACTTCGTGTACTGCTCGTCCCGATAACCATTACTAGATCACTTCCAACGGTGCATAAATCAGAAGACGAATACGAAGTTTTGGAGGATGTTTATTATCACACCACACATATATCACAAAACCACAAGTGAAAATTAAATGCGAATGCAGAAGAGCGGTGAGTGAGCGGACGAGTGAATGGGACTAAAATGTACATATGTATGGAAATGAATAGGTAATCGAATTATTGAAGTGACTAACATTAAAGTGAGTAGAATGAATATGTGTGGGTGATGAGCAATGTTCAGACAGCTCATACAAACGCGACAATAATAAAAGTACAATGGTACAGATAAGTTGTTGCTAAACGAATGACTCTGTCTGTTAAGTTATAAAGGGCTTAACCAAAATAAACATACCAAACTCAAATGTTTGTAAGGTACCACGATTGTCTTAGGCATTCTTACTATTTATGACACTTCAAGATGATCGTTTAATAATGCTCAGTCGTCGGTGAGGTTTACCTACCAAAAATGAAAAATTATTTGGAACTAACTTGCATCGATCAAATACTAAGGCATAAACAGTTTTTGAGATGATCTCAAGCATTTGTCTCTCAACGTAGAATTCGGCTGTGATATGCTCTCACACGTGAATTGTCTACTTTAAAAAACTTACAATATGTCTTCCTAGACAACAATATTGACATTGACGAAAAGTATGATCAAAAAGACACGAAATTATTGACGATGATGTTTGTTTGCTTGGTGTAATTTTGGAATTGAACACATTCTAAATTATGTGCGTTTATTGTGCAAACAACCAATATATACGATTTATTGAATCTTCGTAGACAGAAACATGATTATACTACTTAATTCAGCTAATAAGTAACAAAAATATACAATAATTATAAAAAATTTAATCTTAACCACATCAAACTATTAAATACAATAGGCTTATTGCAGCCTTGATTGGATATAACGTTGAAATCATAGCGTATGTGAGCTTGATTCCACTGTAATTATGGATATGAACTTTCCTCAAACTGATAAATACATTTCAATAAATCTGCATTTAGAGGAATAAAGGAATACCAAACAGTGAATTCCCGATATCTGATAGATACAGAAGCACTGCATTCATTCAAATTAGGTAACAAATTAATGAATTCAAATCCCCTCGAATTCAATGAATCTAGGGCTATTGAATACTTGAATTATTATCCTTGTATGTGGAAAAGCAGTTATTAAGCCCTGTTTTCGTTAATAAAAAAACGTTTCCCTTTCACATCATTTTCGATTCATCTATTATTCTACACTTCACAATAATAACTTTACATAAATCACCTAATTTAACATCACAACGTTTAGCAATATTTTAAGTTATGGTCAAATTATCTTCAATTACTTTGTACAGTTACCGATTATTTCACACCCAAAAACCAATGGTTACTATTCTAATAAGTTAAACACTATCTTTAATCATCAAATTTAATTGACCCTCTTATCTTCAGACAGATTCCATTGATTCTTAAACCCTGATGTGAATACGCTATTTACACCAGTTAATGGCTAACTAAATTCAATATGATTGAAATTATTTTCACAATTTAAAATAAATAGAATATACTAAATTTAGAACTTGTTTCAAAATATACTAGAATCTTTGTTGGTTTGTTGTAACCATTATTCTTGGTTGTTTTAAGCCAATAAGAAGGAAATCTGTTTGATAATTTTGTGTTTATCAAAGTCTTCATTCACTCAAGCATCAAAAAACATAGAGTGTATAGTATTTGATTGTTTGGAGCATTAGAAACATTTAACAAAATAACAACTCTAAATAATTTCCATATTATTTACATGTAATTACATCTGCCTATCCGATCACATCAAATCAATAGTCATCAACTAGTTGACATAATTTGTCAGAGAAGTATAAGTTGGTCCGCTAACAATCAGTAAATTTTGAATGTACTGAAATCAAAAAGAGATTGCATGCGAGACCGAAGGTGCTGAGATTAGTTCCCGCCAGAGGGTTCGTAGATGCACAATACTGAGGAGTCCCATACTAGCATGAACCATCCTTCTGGTGCCTCTAGGTTTTCAGTGATGGTCTAACATTGACCAATTCGTGATTGCAATAAAATTCAACAATTTCCTCGAAACCCAAACTGATGACTTCAAATTTAACCTGAATTTCATGTAAAATAATAGTACATATTTACGAATAAATATTACTGCGGCAAACCAAATACTTAGAGACAGAAGTTGGAATTTACTCTTCTGAACGTTTTGGTAATGATTACTTTTATAAGTTTCACTAAGTTTATGCAACTAAATTTCAGTATTCGCTGTGACTGCGAATTTTCATGACTTTAAAAATATATATTTATGCTAATTAAGTTCACCACATAAAAAATTAAAAGTTTGAATAATTTAAAAAGTAATTATATTCTAAATGATTCTTTTTACCAAAGAGAAATATTTGATTGTAGATTTTTTTTTAAAAACGAAATTCTGTAAATCACAATTTGAAAGGATGAACGTTTGTGAATAGTTTATAAGCTATTTTACTGATCCATACATCTAGTGATTGCTATATTTGACAGTAACAAATGGTTCTCAGCAATATTTATTTGAAAGCTGAAGAAAGTCTAATTATTGAAAGCATCAGAATATATGTAAAGTATTTGATTACTGATAAGATACAATCTAAATTGATGGGTACAAAGTTTAAATCAAGTGGTTTTGTAATGGTCATTTTGATTTCAAACTGACCTCAGTTGAAAATTTTTTAGCAAATCCTGGGTATATATATATATATATCACGGTTGTAATTTACCAATGACTTTAGACGGGTATCGCTGCACACCTCAATTTTAAAAGCGGCTTCAAGGCATCATTCTTGTTACAAGATCGAGTTCTCGAAAACCCGAATACTCATGGAAAAGCTTAAAGCCTATTAGGTTAAATCTCGATATCTATCAAGGAAGGAATATTTTTCTCAATAATTATGGCCATTCTTCCCTAAAACGTTTTGTACTGACTAATGATTAAACTTATATTGGATATAATCGTTAAACATTTTATAAAATATAAAAGATATTTCTTCATATAAGTTTAGGTAATATACGTGTATGATACATTAAACAATACAAAATTTCTTAAACTTCAGTCCCCACTTTCCAATCTGATTTAAAGGTAAACAAAAACCCATCTTTTTTTATCGAGCCGCTTATTCTATTGACCATATTCTTCACTTACGTATATTACTTATGAATCCTTCCCTATATGGTTTGGAGTGATAAAAGACTCGTTGACTCATTAAATTACAACGTGCATGTAGCTAGCTTTTTTTTATTTCGTTGATAATTTCTATAACGACCGACAGCAGAACCATTGAAAGATATTGCACAGCTAACCCAACCTACGTTTCGAACAAATCTAATCTCCGTGGTGACGCCCGGTGAAACACATTTAGACTTATGTATGTGTACATTTGCCTGCGAATAATATTCCACAAATAGATTTGTGAACCTCATGGAGTTTTCATTCCTTTCTCCAAGTCCATGTCGTCCCATGCTGTCTTCATATCCAGTGTTGTCAATTACAACATTCAGACATTCAGGTCTTCCATCAAAATATTCTGGTTCCTTCCCAAACACACTTATTTACGATTGATTACAGCTTCTCATGCAACTGATCTGTTTATGATTGGTGGGTATAACACTGGATGATATTCATTGTACTTCATTTCCGCAGCTACTTAAATGGTTCTGCCGGACTCCCATGCTATGTGAACATTCCAAATATCTATATTCATTGTTGCTCTGATTGCTGAAATAGCCATCGGTCTCTTGACATCCGAAGAAAATCGGTCTTTCGCACCAAATTTCATGATCTTTCTAATCGAAGACCTCCCAACTCCCAAGGTATAACTTAAATGATTTGAATAAATTTTTCTTCAGGTAAAAAAGTCGATTTAACGCTTTGTTGCCAATAGTGGTGAGATGAATAAATAGATAAAAAAACAAAATCCTATCTGTCATGAAAACCATAGATATTAACATTAATGAAACTCAAATTGGAGGTTCAGTTATCTCTTAAACAACATATATGATAAATTTAAACCAAACTAAACATGCATCTTTTTTAAAACGTGTCACAGCTTTGTTTCTTTCATTAACTAATCTAAATAGCAACTATTCTGTTAGGTCAATGACATAAGTTCTCGTAGATATCACTTGTTAATATCTAATTTCGTAGAAATATTAAATAAAGGTCACATCAAACAAACAAATGACCCTAGTAAAGAATAATGGTTCATTCACTAAGACACGCTTCGAAGATGGACATCACGATATTTTACTGAGAAGCCATAGCCAGTGTTGTCAACCATTTTATGACTGAGACAATAAATGACTTTAAAAATTACATGAATATCTCGTTACAACATAAGTTAGGCAAAATCGAAAACTAATGCCTATCTAATCTTACCTGATCGGTTCCAAAACTTCCTTTCTGTCGCAAGACAGGAGTACTGTAAGTCCTGTTGAGTTTGAGACTGATGAACTATCCTAAACTATCACTAATATGGTGAACACTGTTCATTGATCTCCAATTA